AAATAAACAAATATCTTTAAAAAAAATCAATATTCAGATTTGTTTTTTTTTTATGTTTGTCGTAAAATCAGCAAATGAAATATTTCCTTACTTAAAATGTTGTCTTTTGGTAATCAATTTATGCTGTTATACACCACTTTCCAGGCAGATCTATCAGCAAACTGCAACAACCTGCTCAGGCCGTCATTAATATCTGTGATACAACACACTCTGCAGTTAGCCAATGTGGAGAATATAATGAACCATAAATGGCATACTGAAGCCAACATTAACTGGGTAATTGAAAATGAGCCAAGAGACAAGTAACAACAACAACAACAGCGACAACAACAACGGCAACAACACTCCCTCTCAACAACACTGCACGATTGCAGCTTAAACTCAAACTCAAGCTGTGTGCAACATTAAGTGCCACTAAAAGTAGATCAACTAACGGTTGCAGCAGCAGCAGCAGTCACAGCTGCTGTGGTTTGCAATGCTTTTGGGGATGTGGCCACATTATAAAACAATTTCTCACAAAAACCCACCCAATTTGCCTGCTAAACCGCACGAGGACCGCTGCCAGAGCCATGCTTCCAATTACATGAGCCATTTTGGTAATTGTTGTTGTTGTTGTTGCTGGCTGTTGTTGTTGTTGTTGCTGCTGGCTAGCTGCTAATTATTGTACTAGTGGCCAGGCTGAAAGTGAGACCGAGAGGCGGTAATTACTTTGGCCAGCTGTCGTTTTTTATGTTTTTTGTTTTGTTTTCGAGCCAACTTTAAACGGCCTTGCAAGTGAAAACTTGAGCTTGGCTTGGCCATTGTTTAGTTTGTGTATGTTTTTTTTTTCTTTCGATTTTTGTGGCATGTGCAACTTGTGCTTCCGCGTTTCTGTGCTGTGCTCTGCTGAGCTGTGATATGCTGTGTTGTGGGTGGCCACGCCTCGCACAGGTTACGAACAGAAATTTGCATAATTATTGTGATTTTATTTGTGGCACTCGCACTTACATCTTCCGGGGCAGCCACAAGCACAACAACAACAGCAAACACAGAAACATAAACCACTCACGCAAATTAAATAGTCACAATTTGTAGCTGTCGTTGTAAACAACGCGAAAACGCAAGACGCAACATGCAAAATGCAGTTCCGAATTCGCAGCACGAACAACAATTACAAGCAACACACAGCACACAACACACAACAAACAACAACCAATAAACAACAACAACAACAACAGCCAAAACCCCGGCACCCTGTCAGTTATTATTCAATGCGCATTCGTTCATTTTGTTGCCTCGGTTTTCAGCTGTTTGATTTATGAAAGAAATCAATGTAAAATATGCTTCAGTTTTTGGCCAACATTAATTTGCATTTGGATTTTGGTTTTTAGCTGTTTTTCATGTTGGTTGGTAGCAGCTACCTGCTACCAGCTTCAACAATTTGCTTTGTCGATTGTTTAATGTTTGCCGGGCTGTGATTGATGTGCCGCAAAATCATACAAAATTATTTGACGAACGGCGGCCAATTAAATGCATAAATTGTTCAACTTTTATTTTGATCGACATTAATTGGCTGCTCAATTTGTTCACGACTTGAAATCCAATTAGCTCCGCATTGTGTTGATAAACGACATGCATAGCAAATGATAAGCAATTGGGGTTCGTTGATGAAGTTGTAAACTAAACTGTGCCTCAAGGTTGCTCAAAAAATTAATTGAAGATTTTCATTGAGATTATGCAGCAGCATTTAACTTGAACAATGTAAATTTTTGTGTGTGTTATGTATTTGCACAAGGTTTAAGAAGTAGAAAATCAGACGGAAAGTGAAAGGCATTTTTATTTTAAATTTAAGATCAATTTAAATGATTTTACGGCGATTATTTAGTAAGCCTATAAACTGAACATCAACTGGGTTCACTCTTTAACAATGGCAACTTTAGTCTCAAGACCATCAACTGTTGCCAGTTGCCAGTTTGCCAGCTTGCCAGATGTGCAGCATTTCTTTCAACACTTTCGCTGGGCATTTCTTTTGCTGAGCTGAGAGACCTGGCCGGCCTTCAACTGTCCGTACAATAAAAAATCAATCACAAAGGGCCAATGCACCACACCACACCACACTCAACTCAAGTCAACGAAGGGTACAAAGCCAAACAAATATTATGCTTATATTTCCAAAGAATAAACAAGATGTGTGTTGTTGCATGAAGCAGCCACAAAATCAAATATAATAATCAAGTGTAATCAATGTAATTCGATTGCAAACTGCATTTGTTTATCGAATGTGGCTGGGGAGGGTAATATAAAAAATGCAACATGAACGTGAGGAAGCGTGGCAAGAGCGTGAGAGAGTAGGAAAGGGAGGCGAGTGGAGGGGGAGGGATTGAAGTGTTGCAAGGCAAAAGGCCAGGCAGAAATAAAATGCATTTTTATGAGAAGTCGCGATCGTCTCGCTGGGCACGTCGTAAATTTGATTTGGTTTATTTTCATTTGCTTTTTTTTTTAACTCTTCTCTCGCTTTTTTCTTTGGCTTTCAGCCGCTTTCCATTGGAGAAGTAACAGCTGCAACATCAGCAGCAGCAGCAGCAACATCTGTAGCAGCCGCAGCAGCAACAACATCTGCAGCAGCAGCAGCAGCAGCAGCTGATGGCGTCGGCTGAAGTTCGAAGTTGGAGGCGACTCTTGGCTGTGGCGACCTCTGGGCCAAGTTTGGTTGCAGCAGGCAGCAATGGGTCGCATAAATTTCACTTTTACTTGCCAACTTTGTTCGTTTGTCGGCCCCCAAGTGTGTAATTTAGATTTTTATATTGAGGCATATTTCTGTGCAGCGTGGCAGCTACTTAATGTGCACTTTAGACCAGGTTTATGGCGCCAATAAACAAAACGATTGAAGAAACCTAATTAATGTGCAACATTTCACATTTGACAATTATGGCTGCAAAATGTTTAAATGCTGTCGGCAATCACACATGTGGCAGCCACAGCGAAACTATTTAGTAAATAATAAAAACAAAAAATCGACCATTTAATAAAAGGTTAAACTTTTGGTTGATTTGGGATCATTTTTTACTCAAGTCTTTAAATTATCCAAGCCGAATGTGGAGCAAAACAGAAACGATCCAGCGGCACAGGAAAGTGTGGCAAATTATAAGGCAAGAGTCGTGTCCACATGCAAAAGGCGGCAATTGGTCATGGCACATGGCATGGAAGGGGCAGACGCGCGCGTCGTTTGAAGGGGGAGTTGCCACAGCTCGAGGCAAACAAATGCAAATTGTTGCATCAGAGAGCGAACCGAAATGCAGGAAAATGAAATTGTTTCTTCACTTGGCTAACGATAGATAAAGCCAAGTCGGCCAGAAGCAGCAGCAACAATAACAACAACTTGCATTCGTAGGAGAAACTTTGAGCCACAAATGAAGCGGTTTAAAGCGGCATCATGAACTGCCCCAGAGCCGCAGGCTTGACAAGCGGCAGCAGCCAAAGCACATGGCAGCCTCCACAACAACAACAGTACCAAGAACAACAACAACAACGAGAACAACAACAACAGGGGGCGTGCGTCAGTGCGTGTGTTGCATGAATTACGACATCCCAGAGCAAATATATAAACGGGGCAGGAGTCGTTGCATCCACCTATCTCCTCTCTGTCGACTCCTGATGCAAATTATACACAATTAAAATGTTGTTACCGTTTTACAAATTGCATTATGTTGGCTAACTGCAGCTGCTGCTGGTTTGCCGGCAGCCTGCAGCAGGGTGTATCAGAACTTTTGGCCAGGAAACGTTTAAGCCATCGCACTAAAATCAGTGCATGAGCAGAGCATGAGCAATGCTGCCAGGCCAGGAGGAGTGTGCTGCTCGAAAACTGGGCCAATGTGATTATAGGCAAGACTTTCACTGCCAGCTGTCAAGTGAGTGGGATGCATAGAAGATGCAAGAGGAAGAGAGAGTGTGTGTTTGTGGTGTGTATTGTGTGATGTGTGTGTGTGTGTGTGGCTTTATGAGAGAACTAAAAACTAGAAAGGAACTTTGGATGCGCAAATAATCTAAACAACAAATCAAACCAGAAACTGTGGGTTCTTTTTAATTGATGCGAACGAGCAGAGAGATGATATTTCATTTTACGATTATATTTCAGATAATTTGAATAGATGCTTGTGGGATGGAGTATTATTGTACAGACTGGTTTTAGAAACTTATTATTTGTTTAGTTTTTCTTAAGAGCCACAAACTTTTTAAGGCAAGAACATTTAATTAGCCGCATTCCCAAAACTAATTGAAACTGGAGAAATTTTACTTTTTTTCGATACATTTGTTGATGTATGCGCTTGATGAGAAGAGGGCGGAGGAGGAGCTGGCATTAGATGCATCATTTAGCTGCCTGTTTCTTGTTGGTCAGGCTTGATAACGGCTCGTTGGCAGCAGCGCATTGCCAACATTTTCACCAAATGAGTTAATTAAATCAGTGAACAGAGATACTTTTGTAATTAGAAATGGCCATAATTGGCAAGAGGCGGACGTAAAAAAAGGCAGCTAAATGGAAAGCTTGGCGCCGCTGCACAATACAAAGACAAATACAAATGCGAAAAGTGCCATCAAAGTGATGCATTTTCCTTTTTTCCAAGAATTCAACGTATGCAACGAGAAAAGGCCGTTTTTTTCTTTCGTTTTGTTTTTTGCTTTCCAAGTGTAAATAGAAAACGCTAAAGTCGACAACAATTTCAGCTAATCCAAAGTGATTTTTTTCGATATGCAGCCGACAAATGGGCGACCCCCTCGAAAGATGCACATTCTCAGAATTATTTTTGTGCAACTCTTGAAGATCAATGTCACTAGAAATCTATAACATAGCCCAGCTGCTACTCAGGGAATTTGTCTTTTGGTGAATGAGTTGTTTATGCTTGGCCCCAAAATAATCTTTACTTAAAAATTAATATCAAAGTTTCTTATAGAATGTTTTAGGTATTTTCCACTCTGATCTATATATATGTATATCTAGATAACAATTGAAATCGTAGACTTACCGCTGTTGAGCTGCGTTTGCGCAGTAAATTGTCCAGGCAGAGCTGTAGCTCAAAGGCCTTCAGATAGAGCAGATGATAACGATCTCGCAATCTTTCCAAATTGGCTTCAACCTTCTTGGGATGTGCTGTGCCGAGTCCAGTGCCAGTGGGCGCTGCTGCTGCTGCTGTTGTTGTTGTTGTCGCTGCAATGGGCGTGGTCAATTGGGCAACATCAGAGGCAAAACCGCTGCTGAGACTGTGGGATTTGGTCACCGATTCGCTTGTCGACTCACTGGAACAATTGCTGGTGAGGGATGCAGGTTGCTGTGACTGCAATTGCAATTGTGACTGTGACTGCGACTGCAGCTGCGACTGCGACTGCGACTGCGTCTGTTCCCTCTCGGAGGCGGCACGAATGCAAGCGCTTACAACTCGAGCGTGTGATACAATTTCATGGTACAACACCTGGAAATGGACAATGGCGAGAGAAATTTCAAATTAGACTCAAAGTGACACATAAGCAAAACTAATATAGACAAGCAATTGCCAAGCAAGCAGCCTGCACACATCACGTATACGTCATGTGCTTACAGCTCTGGGCACGTGACTTGCGTTAGCAAGGGAGTTGCCAACAGATAAAGTTGTTGCCGTTCGACGTTCGTTTAAATTTAGGCGCGTGGGCTGCTTAAGTTGAGGCGCAGCATAGACAAAAGACTAGACACTGTCTTTAAGAACTCTAATGACTAGACTGCACCTCATGCACTGACAGAAAAAATACGTAGTTCTGTACAAATTTGCAATCACAGATCAAAGCATAATTTGTATTTATATTTTTAAAAGTTCTTATATACTTAAGTCTACATTTCATTTGCAATTTGTTCAAGTGTAGCTAAACTCTGCGCCTCTCAATTGCATTTCCGTTTATGGGCAGGAGGCAGTTTTGTGTCTTAGATTTTCATCACTCATTTGTCATCTTCGTCTGGCAGACGAACCCACCCCAAAAGGTCAAATCCCACACATTGCATAAGCGAATGCATCCATCCGTCCATTGTATTGGCCAGATTCAACAGCCAGATAAATGGAATTGGCAAAAAGGCGTAAAAGGCTTTCCGCATTTTTTAAGCTGGCAACGCGTTCGATATTCAATTTATCATATATATATATATACATATATGTAGAGAGAAAATAATTACCAAGGTGTTTTTGACACGCAGAGTTCAAAGTTGAATGCGTGGGCGTGGCAACGCCAAATGCCGCACAATGACACCCACCCAAGGCAACACACACTCACACACACACACACGACACGATCATTTATTTGCCCGTCCACTGTTGGTGGTAATCGTACATTGATCTTCATACAACAGTTTAACCCCAACGAACTCTTGCATCATGTGGCAAGTAAACAGCAAACAAAAGCAACACCAACAACAACAACAATTGCTGTCAGCTTTGGCATTAGAAATCGATAAATATGATGAAGCGACCAACTTGTGAGAGAGAGAGAAAAAAACCCAGCGACACCTGGCACATTTACTTATGGCAGCGACTGTGTAGCACATCCTAAACTCAAGCTCAAGTCATAAATTTAAATTTTCACCAGCTACGCTGCTCCTTATCCTCCTTGTGGGGGAAAATCCCCAGTAAAAAAGTACGCAAACAAAAATTGAAATGTCACCGAAAGCGTTGACTCGATTTGATTGTTAAAAAGTTCCTCTTGTTTGGCATTTATGCAAACTATGGAAAGCTGACACTGATAAAGACTTTGAGCAGTGTATTTAGCAGTGTATTCAAATTAAGTTTACTTTTTATCCCAGCTAATATGTCTTAGCAATATTTAATCTACTTAAATCACATTGTTGGGTTTATAGCTCAAACTTCAATCCGTATTCCAATTCGTTCTTTTAGTGTATTTTTCAAAGCTTATTGATTGCTATATTTTCAACTAACTATTGTAGTATGTCTTTCAGTCAGTCTTTTAATAACTTCCTAACCATAATGTTGTTAGCTTGTTTATCTGCAGTCTCTGCAATTTCTTTCTTTACGTGATATATGATATCTGTTGATTGTAATTTATTTTCACAGCACTTCCTTATGCGCATTTATTAACTGATTCTTATCCCGCCTTTCAGCAACAATTCCCACACCCAAGAAAACTAACTTCGCTTCCAGTTCAATAGCTTCACTTTAGTGTTTTCTGTTTGCTGATTATCTGGCTCTAACTAGACAAATATTTAAACGAGCTGCAGTTGCTGCTGCCAAAGCTCACTTTTCATAAGATCGAATTCTACATGGTCGGAATTTTCCGCTAGACAATTTTCTGCATCATTACAGCGAACACAAAATTGTTTGCATTATGATATTGTAGTTTTTTTTTAGTTGTTTTCTTTTATCATTATATCTAATTATGAGCTGCAAGAAACACAAAGAACTTGTGGGGCAGGCAATGAAAGGGGGGGTGTAATTCATTTTAGAGGCTTGGCAAATGAAAATCAACTCAACTCTTCAAGCGAACGGGCCAAATTCGTAGCCATTAGCTTTGAGGGAAGAGCTGAAGTCGCAAATCTGCGAGTCATGAAGTTGTTGCGAGGTTCTTGGAGGAGCAACAAGAAGTAACTAGAGTTGGAGTCTGAGCCGGGCAGGCAGGCAGGCAGGCAGGCAGGCAGGCAGGCAGGCAGGCAGGCAGGCAGTGTGGCAGCCTGGCAGGTGTGTGTGGAGGCGGAGGTGGGTGTGGCCAAGTCAAGCGGCTGCTTATTTGCGATTGTTGCGGCTCATTACAAACAGAAGAGCAAACGAACAACGAAAAACAATAGTCGGCTATAATGTGTTGTCTTTAGCCAAGTTTGGCTGGCATCACAGAGCAACGCCTTTCTCTTTGTTTAAACTCAGCCAGAGACTCAGTCTAAGTCTAACTTTTAGTTGAGTTCAGTTGAGTTGTTGCAGTTAGAGTTAAAGTTAAAGTTAAAGCAGAAGTGGAGGCTGCCTTGTTGCCTTGTTGTGGCTGGCTCTTGGCTTGTGCTTGTGTGCCTATGCCAAAAACCACTCCCAATCTTTGCACGACTCTTGGTCTTGGCAATTTTGGCGAGCCTCTTAATGCATTTTGCACACGCTCACTCATTCATTCGCTTCATAAACCCACCCACCTAAACCACACACACAGACACACACACACACACTCGCAAGACTCTCAGCTCCAGTTTCAGAATATGAGCAAGAATTATATGCATAAAGTTCGTGACTAATCTGCGGACTGAACTTGAGATGTTTCCCCCGTGTTTCAGCAACTGTTGCGATTGCAATTGAGACTTTGAATGCACTCGAGCAACAGCAGCCGCAGCAGCAGCAGCAACGGCGAGCCACAAAGAAGTTATTGGTTAAAGAAAAGTGAATGCACAGTGGGTGATAATTAAAAAATATATATATAAATAAAAAACTGTACAGCTGTTAAAAGATTGATTAAATTAAAGCTAGGTTTGGCTTGGCATTTATATATATTTGCTGTTTTATTGTTTACTGTTGAATTGAGTCCATTAAGATCGGCGCTGGTTTATATTTATTATTGCTTGAATTGAATGCAACTTGAATGGTGCATAAGCAGCGACTTCTAATTGGCAACATTTTCGTTAAGAAATCTGAGAATTCTGGGATATTATTATTATTTGAAGCATTCTTATTTTTTTTACATCATCAAAATTTATATTTATATTTCTATTTCTAAGAAAAACCATTTCATTCTTCTCCCTTGGCAACCTCTCGTATACGTAATATATGCAGCTGATATGCACATATAATCACACCTTCAGCATTCTTGCTAATAATAATTTTCAACTAGAATTTTCTTTTCCCTAAGCCTGATTATGATTTGTGTGCAAGCATTAAATATAAACTCGAGCAATTTTTCCAGCTGGCGCCGCAGTGAGAAATGAGTTTTGACTATCAGTTTGCTAGATGCTGAATACTAATTGGACTGCTCGCTGGCCACATAAATTCCACAAAGCAAGGGGCACCTCTTTTCTATTTTGTTTTCTGTTTTGTTTATTTGTGGGGCGATTGCAACACACTGTCCTCCAATTGTTGTCGGCCAGCAGCATGACGCACATTTGGCCTGTGTGTGCTTCTCATTCGCACAAAACAGTTTCACATGCAAATGTGCCCAACACATTGTGTGTTGTGTGTGTTGCGAGTTGAGTTGAGTTGAGAATCGTGCGTCTGGCCAAAAGATCTTCTAATGCGGCGGTCTATTTATAAAACTCGAATAATGCTGGGCACGTCGTATCTGTATCTGTATCTGAATTTCGAGATCATTTTGGCAGTTGTTGTTGTGTGTGTGTGTGTGTGTGTGTGTGTGTGTGCCGCGAGCGAGGTTCGTTGACTCAGAATATAGTGTTGAGCAATCGCCAACAATTAACTAGCTGAATACAAACACAACCAAAAAAATACCAACATTAAAAAGAGAAGAAAAAATACATTCATTATTGAAAATGTCAGTATGTGACCTCGACCGCGTTTTTCACATTTTTATCGCCCCTAGACATTGGTGTGGCATCAACGCCTCCGCCCAGCAGCCATGCTGTATCTGATTGTTAATGATTCACTGTGTTACACATAAGCAAGCGATTTATTATTCACAAATATTCACAAGTCAATAAAAAGTTGCTTACTTACTTAAATTGGTTGCCTTATAAAACTAAACTGGCACCTGCCGCGAATTTTGTTGCCAAAATATCTAAAGTTTCCACACGCAGCAGGAAGTCAACGAACGCGGCAACAACAACAACAACAATAAAAACAACACATTTCCAACATGTCACATAAATTGGAACGCGCACAAATTATTTATTTTTTCTTCGCTTTTTTGTAGCTAGCACATTTCTAAGTTAAATAGTCACGGCATTTGGAACACTTCCAAATCGCCATTTGAAAGCGCCTTTAAATAGAACAAACTTACAAAGTCTGCCCGGTTTTGGGACATAATTTCGGGCAAGCGCTTGCAGCCAAAAAAATAAAAAACAAAACAAAAAAATTAACTTGCGACTCTAATTACCCGAAAGAGTTGGAAAAACAATTTTGATTTTGGTTGCATGCGGGAGGTGGTGGAAGGAGTAGTTGTGGCAACCTCCATTGACAAGATAAATGACAAGCGGAAAGATGCGAGAAAACGAAATTGACACTAGCAAGGTGGGTGAGAAAAACAGCTAATGACAAATAAGGCTGCAATCGACAACAACAAGCTATGAGATACCCTAGAATTAAGTGGCTACGAATGGTTTTTGATTACAAAAAAACTTTGTTAAAACGGAATTGATGAGATAGAAGAATGTTGAAATGGAGAGTAAAGAATTCCTGAGCAGACACAAAAGTGATATCGATAACTGCTACTATCGATAACTGTTATGGTAAATTAGATAATAACATGATTCGTATGATTATTGAAAGCACAAACAATAGATATACAAGAAGATATT